TATTTTGTGTTGGTAATAGTTAATTATTTAAATCTGAGTAGTTTGTCTATTCCTAGGATGACAATATGTCCTGGTTTCGCCCAGACACTCCTGCATTACATAAGCCAGTCCCTGCTAACCGGCCAAAAGTTCTGGGCCAGAGTCCAGTGGGAAGGCAGAGCAGCATGGTGTGCCAGGTAGGTGGCTGGGCAGACATTACTTCTCCTGTATAGGAACAAAGGAGGTTGACTGCCCAGCCACCTGCCTGGCACACCAGGTCTCTCCACCTCCCCACCAGACTCTACCCCTGGACATTTGACCAATTGGTTGGACAAGCCTATAGAATGCAGGAGCATCTAGGCCAAACTGGAATGTATTGCTGTATTGTGACTGTATGCTTACCCTGCATTCTCTTAACCTAACAGTCAGAAAACTGAATGATACATAATAGCTGCATGCAGACATTCAGGGATGCCTAGCCTGACATGCCTCAGGGCAGGCTCACGATCCAGCTGGACCTCAACAAATTAGTTAGATGGGTGGACCAGAACCAGACGTTGTTCAACACTGAGAAGTGTAAAGTGCTCCGTCTGGGGACAAAAAACCTGCAACAAACTTACAGGCTAGCACCACATCCAAAAGCGACCCAGGGGTCATAATGACCATAAAATGAATATGAGCCAGTGTGATGCTACAGTTAGCAGAACAAACAATACACTGGCATGTATCAACCAATACATTTCAAGCAAAACTAAGGAAGTTATTCTCCCACTCTACTCGGCATTGGTGAGGCCGCAGCTGGAGTTTTGCATCCAGTTCTGGGTGCCACACTTCAAAGAGGACAAGCTTGAGACATAGATTCATAGATGTTAGGGTCAGAAGGGACCTCAATAGATCATCAAGTCTGACCCCTGCATAGGCAGGAAAGAGTACTGGGTCTAGATGACCCCAGCTAGATGCATATCCAACCTCCTCTTGAAGACCCCCAGGGTAGGGGAGAGCACCACCTCCCTTGGGAGCCCGTTCCAGACCTTGGCCACTCTAACTGTGAAGAAGTTCTTCCTAATGTCCAATCTAAATCTGCTCTCTGCTAGCTTGTGACCATTATTTCTTGTAACCCCCGGGGGCGCCTTGGTGAATAAAACCTCACCAATTCCCTTCTGTGCCCCCGTGATGAACTTATAGGCAGCCACAAGGTCGCCTCTCAACCTTCTCTTGCGGAGGCTGAAAAGGTCCAGGTTCTCTAGTCTCTCCTCATAGGGCTTGGGTATCACCTCCTTGGACCTATTCGTCATGCATCTGCTGATGCACGATAAAGTGCCATTGGCTTTTTTGATGGCTTCGTCACACTGCCAACTCATGTTCATCTTGGTGTCTCTGCTAGGACTCCAAGATCCCTTTCCACTTCCGTGCCACCCAGCAGGTCATTTCGTAGGCTGTAGGTGTGCTGGACATTTTTCCTCCCTAGGTGCAGCACTTTGCATTTCTCCTTGTTGAACTGCATTCTGTTGTTTTCTGCCCACTTGTCCAACCTGTCCAGGTCTGCTTGCAGCTGTTCCCTACCCTCCGGTGTGTCCACTTCTCCCCATAGCTTTGTGTCATCCACAAACTTGGGCAGAGTACACTTCACTCCCTCGTCCAAGTCTCTGATGAAGACATTAAAGAGTATCGGTCCAAGGACCGAGCCCTGCGGGACCCCACTGCCCACACCCTTCCAGGTCGAAGCCGACCCATCCACCACAGTCCAGAGAAGAGCCACTCATATGATTAGAGGCCTGAAGAGCAAGCCATATGAGGGAAAGCAGACAGATATGGAACTGTTCATCCTAGAAAAGAGAAGACTTCATGGGGATTTGGTGGCAGCTTACAAATATGTCAAGGGTGAGCATCAGGGACTAGACAAAAAACAATTCACCAAAGCACCCTAGGGGAAAACCAGGAGCAAGAGTAATAAACTCCTAGAAGGAGGTTTCGGACTGGATATAAGGAAAAACTTCTGGTTTGTGTAACCAGACTCTGGAATAGACTCCCAGTGGGGGAGGTGCAGGCACCTACCCCAGAGATCTTCAAAAGAAGACTGGATGCACACCTTGCTGGGGTTATTTGACCCCAGCAGTCTTTCCTCCCTAAAGCAGGGGGCTGGACCCAATGATCTCCTGAGGTCCCTTCCAGCCCTAAACTTCTGTGAATCTGTAAAAGGAAGTTAGATTACATTAAAAATTACCATTCAATCTAACTTAGTTCACCCAGGTACAGACCTTATACTAGTTAGGTTGATCTACATGCAAACCGTACAGAAGTTCAGGACAGTTGGATCAGTCTAAAAGTGGCCAACCTGATCTAAGTTAACTGTATCACCAAGGTGATAACTAGGTCCAGCAAGACCAATCTAACTGAACTTCTGTGCAGTTATCAGTGTAGACCCAGGGCTAGGAAAGCCCAGCCACTAGCCTCAGCCCTAGTGCTGCACTTGTCTTCCCCCTCCCTAGCACTGAGCTATTTTTAGCACCCTACTTCCCCACCCCCATACAGATACCCCTCCCCCCATAGACCAGCATGCTCCCCCAGCCCACCAAACCCCACATCCTGCAAGGTGCTTCTGGTGCCAGTTTTATCACCATTTTCTGATGCTGGTGCTGAAGAAGTAAGTCCCAGTGGGAAGATAAGTGGGAGGGATGAGCTGATTAGTTCTCTGAGGGGATTGCTTGTCTGGAGGTGTAGGGGAGGCTTGGGGGGCTTAAAACAGCCGCTAGTCCCAGGAGATGGGAGAGAAAGAGGCCTCTCAACCTCCCCTCCCCCCCCCCACCTCACCTTGGACCTTGCAAACCCCACCAATCCTAAAAAATCCTCCTGGACCTCAGCACCCTCCATGCCCCCTGCAGACCCCACCTGCTCCCCTGATCCTCCTGCAGACACCTCAGTCCTTTCCCAGCGCCTGTTTGCCTCCCTGATCCTCCTAACCCTCTGCTAACCTCCCCATCCCAACTTACCTTAGTTCACATGGCAATTTTTAACGTGATCTAACCTCCCCTTAACCTCCCCAAATGTCTGCACACAGCTAATAACATATGACTATTAAGTGAGAGAAGAAATATTAGATGGTGATATGAAGATGCCAGTGAAAAAGTAATAAAGAATCCTCTCTCAGAGAAGGGTCATAAATATTGACTGATAGACTCAGTGTACATACCTGTGCATTATCAAAGGGAAAACTAGAGAACAGAGGGAGGCTCAGAAAGGACGTGCTTCTAACATACATACCATCTTTCCCCATATCAGGCCTCCCCAGTAAAACTGCAATTAGAAACTTGTGCTTCACTGTCACAGGCAATGAGGTGGACATTGGGATAAGCCTATACCCTGTTCATTGCCATCAACCAAAGCTTGGTTAGCAAACCTGTCTCCTGCCTCTTTTATCAATGTCTTACCCATCAATGCAGATCATTAAACAGCAATATTTCATAGATTTGACAGACATTAGGTTTGGAAGGGACCTTGTGAGATCATCGGGTCCAGCCCCCTTCCCAGAGGGAAGGAACTCAGCTGGGATGAGATGACCCCAGGAAAATAAAACTCCAGGAGTTTCTTAAAGGTATCCAGAATAGGTGCTTGCACCACTTCTGGGGGAAGTCTATTCCAGACTCTGGAGACTTGGACAGTAAAGCTTTTCTTATGTCCAATCTAAAACTTTCTTCCAGTATTTTGTGACCATTACACCTTGTCTTCCTTTGGGGTGCCCTGGTGAACAGACATTCTCCCAGTTCCTGTTGCGCACCCCTTACAGACTTATAGGCTGCCACCAAGTCACCCCAAGCCTTTGCTTCGCCAGGCTGAAGAGTCCCATGCCTTTCAGCCTCTCTTCATAAGGTCTGCTCTCTTGACCTCTAATCATTAGCATGGCTCTCCTCTGGACTCCCTCAAGCCTCTCCAAATTCTCTCTGAAGTGTGGAGCCCAGAATTGGATGCAGTACTCCAGATGAGGCTTCACCAAGACTGAGTAAAGCGGGAGGATGACTTCTTGGGTCTTGCTTGAGATGCATCGGTAGATGCAAGCCAGAGTTTTATTTGCTTTTCCAGCTGTGGCATTGCATTGGTGGCTCATGTTTATCTTGTGATTAATCATAATCCCCAAAGTTTCTTTTGGTTGTGGTGCTAGTGAGTGTAGCACTGCCAATCCTATAAGTATGATATGGGTTCTTTCTCCCGAGGTAGATCACCTTGCATTTCTCTCTCTATTGAGTGTCATCAGGTTTTGATCCGCTCACTTGTGAGCCTGTCCAGGTCATCCTTAATCAGTCCCCTTTCAGAAAGGGATACTTCAAAAGGATCTTCCTATGGGTTTCATGAAAGGACCAAAAGATGAAACACCAGAACCTATAAAAGTCTTTCTTGGGACAGCACCTTTAAAGTGCCTGGGCAGATCAGCTAAAACAGTTTCAGTTACATCCCCTGTCTTCAATGGATAGGAAGATTGGTGACATGATCTGCAAACTAACTGTCATGGCTCAGAAAGTTTCCCAGGGAAAAATGAAGACTAGGAAAGCTTTGATTAATGCAGAACTGATTAGCAGAGGTGAGCTTGCAGCAAGAACCTATGGAACTCAAAAATCGGCTTCAGAGGCTCACAGATGACAACAGCAGTCAGCCTCAAAGAGGAGGAACATGGCCAGCCACCCAACTTGGTCAAGTCAGGTCATATACAATTCTTTTCCACTAATTTTTCCTACTTGCAAAAGACTGAGGGGAGACATTGGATCATCCCAGTCCAATAATACTTGCAGACCTTGCTTCTGTTTGTTGCACCCTCTCTCGTGTGTTTAGACTGCAAACTATCTGGGACAGGAATCATGATTTCCTATGAGTAGAAATTAGCACAACAGAGTCTGACTGCCACTCTGTCAAGTGGTCTTAGAATTATTTAAATCCTAGATTGACTAGTACTACAGTGAGAGGCAAGGGGATGCCTTAGGTGATATCTTTTCTTAGACCAACTGCACGATTGGGATAAAGTTAAACAAGCTTTAAAATGCAAGACATTCATCATCATCAGGATGAGCTGTAAAAGCCAGCATAATAAAAATCATCAGCCAGCACAACATAATAAAAATCATGTTGGAAGTGGGGGTGGAGGGGAAGAAAAATTCTGAGGGAGTAGACAAATGATTAGCAAAAGAAAAGAAGTCACAAAACTATCCCAACTATGCAGTTGGTCTAGTAAAAAATATCACCCTAAGAAATCCTTGCCCCTCTCATAATTCCTGGATTACCACAGTTACATCATCACTAATTCTACCAATACTACAGTTTCACTGAAAATTGCTTACCTCTAAGCCTACATTTAGGATATGTTAATTCCCCCTCCAGGCACCATACTCTAAAAGGAGGAGATTCTGGATCCTTCACATATCCCCTTTTGCAGGTAAATTCTATAACATCTCCAGATGGGGAATACAATTTATGTCCTGGACTCCATTTCAGCTGAATATTGTTCTTTGCCATATCCTCCTCAGATGCTGTACAGGGCTCTGGAAAGAGGAAAATGTCATGCAGCTGGTTACACATGGATCTGACATCCTAGTATCAAAATCTTTCAGGGGGTTGAGGATTTCATTCCCTACAATTTTATTTTACAAGCCCTGTCCCCAGAAAGTTTAATGAGCTAAAGAATTACTAATAACCTGTACTTTCACTCTCCCTCTGTTCTTTTTGATAAGAGAACATATATTTTCTGGGGAGATTTGAAAAGGAAAAGCTAAGGTTGATAACACACAGAGAACTAGTCTATAAGAGCTTCTTTGGAGTTACATAGGTCTACATCTGGGAATCAGTGCAGGAAAATATGCCCCAGCCACATCTCCTCCAGGAATAATCAATCATTTATAGACTGGAATGTGTGTGGGGTGGAGCTGATTAAATCTGTTTACACACAACACAGGGCATCCCCTACTGGAAAGAGGATTAGAACCATATAAGATTTGCACTGAAGGGCAGCAAAAAGTATTCCTGATATATTTGCCCATAAGTTCTTCAACTGAATTTTACAATATCTACTGTGGCTTATACCTTCAACAAAGAACATATCTGAATAAGTCCATTCTTGTACTGTAAATGTTAGCTTTGTTATAAGCTTTGTTATAACAGGTTTTTATAGAAGACAATATATTTTGGAAAAGGATGTAGATACTTCTATTAGCATAGAAATCTTATAGGAGGTCTGAGGATTTAATAGATTTAATAGACATTTCTTTACATTTTCAAAACATAACATCAGCATGAACTCAGAGTAATTAGTTAGATTATACAGTATTATTTCTCACTGGCAAAAGGACAGAAGGAGGTAGAGTTGTTGCCTCTGATAATCCACACTTCCTATCTAAAATTAAATTAATGAATTTGATCTGAGGGAACTTCAGCAATAGTAACAACTAATTTTGGCCCCAACACCGAAATCACCCTATTTGTGGAACTTATCTCAAATCTTCTAATTTGATAATTTTGGTACCTACCTATGCAAACTGGAGGGTCTGTCCATTGTCCAGACTTGCAGCTAACAAATTGAGATCCCCGCATTACATACAAATGTTTGCATTTATATTCTAGTGTTGAATGTGGATCATAGTCATTCAATGGAAAGGAAGTTATATCTCCATTGTCAATAGCAGGTGGTTTCCCACACCTTCCACCGCCCTCTGAAATGAAGAACAGAAATCAAGAAATACATCACTGTTTTTTTCAGAAAACACTATAAGAACAAAAGTATTACAGATCGCCTCTATCGATACACCTTGATAGGCCATTAAAATAAAATGAAAGCAACAGAATAATCACCCTGATTGCTTTGAGCAGGGTTACAGATAACTCGTTACAGCCATAGCAACATGTGGCTCATTGTTTAATAAACAAGAATATTGAAAAAATAGCAAAATAACAAAATGAGTGGCCTCACTTTGTCAACAACTGATTCAGGGCTGTGTTTCACAAATTAAGAATGTTTGTTACTGTGAAAACATCTGGTTTGACAGGTATCCAGGCATACTACTATGCTGACCTCAAAAAACTGACTGTCAGGCAAAGAGAAAAGCCTTTTCCCTTTCCTTTTTATGTCCTTGTGACACAGTATTTGTTAGGGTGACTGTATTTGGATCTTGGGGAGCACTGGATTTGCAGCTGAATGCAAGGCTGTAACCTGTGGCCTAGCAGAGCTGATAACCACAAGGCAGAATGATATATTAAAAGTAACATTGCAAGACACTTAGGCAAGTATTTTCCTAACAATGTTGTAGTGTTGTAAGATATATAGCTAATTGTGTAAAGAGAACAGGATGCAGCCCACCACCTACCATCAGGAGATAAAGCAGAAGTAAGACCTTGGAGATGATGAAGAAGGAGTCAGCAAGAAATGGCAAGTCACCAAAGGAAGCGGAGGTCAGTCTTAGGCATGCACTCATAGGAAAAAGGCATGTAAATGAGTAAAATGCATAGGTAATTCCATGCTAATCAAACAGACAGTAAACAAAGGTGGAGCTTGAGATAGGAGGAAATATGGGTGGAACAAAGAAGGGACAAAGGTGGAGTAAATGTTAATGAGTTTGAACCAAAGTGTATAAATGTGGGAAAAAAACTAATGTTCGCTGCTGCTCCCCAGCTTTTTGGGAGCTCACCCAAAGCTGTCTCCATTTTGAATAAGACTGTTGCTAGCAATGTGTGCTGGTGTTTGCTCTCTGAGCAATTGGATCATCGCCTCCCTAGTCGTTGGGTGCCGCACAGAGCCAGGGTCTAACAGTATTTAACAGAATTTGCAGATTTGTTGGAATCTGATAGGGCTGCACTGTGAGCACTTCTGCTGTGACTTTGAGTTTACAACCTCTGGACTGGTAGCCACATGCCTTGCCACCCAAACCCCCAAGAGAAAAAGGAAAGACCTTTAGATAGAATTTTTCCCATACCAAGGCATTTCCTTCCCTATCTTTCCACTTCTTGTTATTGAAGTAACTGTAGCTCTCTGAAGTATGCATCTTCTGTGGGCATTTATGCACGTACTCCAGGAGGGGAGGGGAGCACTTTAATTAAAGTGGCTGTAAGAGCTTCTCTAATTAAAGAGCCCAAAGCGCCTTGAACAAGCTTTAGTCAAAGGGCTCCTGCCAACAATTTTCAGTGCAGGGACACTGATACGAAAGACGCTTGAGTCTGCTGGACTGCGGTAATTACCATGCTCTGGTAGACTCGATGCTCTGTAATTAAAGAATGTTGAAGCAGCCTCACTGCTTGTGTATAGGCACCCTATATGAGCATTAAATGATGAAGCATGTTAGAGAAAGGTGTTAGAGAAAGGGTGCCCAGACCATGGTAACTATGAGCTTCCCATTGTCTTTGAATATTAAGAGAGTAGAAAGGTAAGCTAGACAGAAATGTGCAAGAAAAATAAAAGTGAGGTGCAAGGATTTCTTAGGGCGATATCTTTTTTTGGATCAACTGTGTAGTTGAGAGAGAGGTAGATAAGTTTTCAAATGCAAGACATTCTTTGTCAGGTTTGACCAGAGCAAACCAAACACAGCATAGTAAAGAACAGTTGTTAGGTGGGGAAGTGAGAGAAATTGTCACTGGCAAGAGATGCACAATTAACAGAAGAGAAGAAACTGATTACTGGGAGATAAAGGCATGTCAAATGGAAGGAGGGTAATTCTCAAGTTTCATGTTTGGAAAGAATTCAGGAGTCAGGTAAAACATAACATGCCATAAAACCAATATCAATCTTTAGTCCCTGGTTCTTGATGTCCAGCCAGCTTATGAATATTTCTTCCCAAATTTACTTTTAGATGTGTCAGGTAGATTTTCTTTGAGCATGAGGATGGTGATGTCAGACATGGAGTGGTTATTCTGAGAGAAATATGCTGCTAACGGTGTGTGTACACAACTCTTTCCTTTATATTTTTTCTTTGACATGCCGTTCTGGTGCATAGCTGCTGTTTAGTTTCATCCATGTAGTTGCCATAAAGCTACTTGGTGCACTGGGCCAGGTATACTGCATTTTGGGAAAGGCATCTGTAGGAACCATTCATAGATTCATAGATTGTAAGGCTGGAAGGGACCAATTGCACCACATCTGGAAGGAGCTTATTCCACAGTCTGAACACCCTAACTAAGAAGAAGTTTTTCCTAATGTTGAGCCTGAAGCGGTCTTCCAGGAGTTTGTGGTATTACTCCTGGTTGTCTCCAAGTATGGATTCTGATGGTTTCTTTATTGGGGGTTGTGGCAGGTCTAGGACTTGCCCCCTGGTGGCCATGTAGCTCCTGCCCAGCTCAACCTCTAATGTAGCCATCCCTTGATTGCTCACCTGCCTCTTCTGATTATTGAGGAGTATGCAAGGGAGGCTGCCTGTGGGTCTTGGAGCCTTAGTCCATGCAAATCACCCCCAGGTCTCTCCTGGATCTCACTAGTCTCAATTTTCAAGAAGGGGAGGAAGGAGGATCTGAGTAATTATAGGCCAGTCAGGCTCACCTCCATCCTTGGAAGGGTCTTTCCAAAGATTATGAAGGATCATATTTGTGGGAGTCTACCAGGAAAAATAATGCAACAGCATGGATTCATAGCAGGTAGATCATGCCTGACCAATCTGGTTTTGTTCTACTCGATCACAAAATGCTTAGATGCAGGAGTAGAGGTGGATGTCATTTTGTTGGATTTTAGTAAGGCCTTCAATACAGTATCTCATCCCATTCTCATAAATAAATTAAGAGGCTGTGACATAGATGCTTACACAGTTCAGTGGGTGGCAAATTGGCTTAGTGGTCATGCCCAAAGAGTGGTACGAGATGGGTCAGTATTGACCTGGAAGGATGTGGGTAGTGGGGTCCCGCAGGGTTCAGTCCTCAGACCTGTACTCTTCAGTATCTTCATCAGTGACTTGGATGTGGGTGTGAAGTGTACTCTGTCCAAGTTTGCAGATGATACTGAATTGTGGGGTGAAATGCACACTCCAGAGGGTAGGGAACGACTGCAGGCAGGCCTGGACAGTTTAGAAAAGTGGGAAGTACACACTAAGATGCAGTACAACAAGGACAAGTGCAGAGTGGTGCACCTAAGGTGCAAAAATATGCAGCAGACCTACTGGCTGGGAAGTGACCCTCTCAGCAGCACAGAAGCAGAAAGACATCTCGGAGTCATAGTGGACTCCAAGAGGAACATGTGTTGTCAGTGTGACAAAATCATCAACAAAGCTAACCACACTTTATCAAGCACCAGCAGATGCATGACAAATAGAACCAAGGAGATGATACTTCCCCTCTATGCAGCATTGGTCATACTGCAGTTAGAGTACTGCATCCAGTTTTGGGTGCCGTACTTCAAGAAGGATGTTGATAAACTCGAGACGGTCCAGAGGAGGGCCACTCGTATGGTTAGGGGCTTTCCTATGAGGAAAGACTGAAGGAACTAGATCTCTTCCACCTCCACAAGAGAAGGCTGAGACGTGATCTTATGGCCACCTACAAATTCATTAGGGGGATGCAGCAAGGGATTGGAGATGCTCTGTTCACCAGGGCACTTCTTGGGGTAACAAAGAACAATGGTCACAAACTGACAAAGAACAGATTTAGGCTAGATGTCAGGAAAAACTTCTTCATGGTAAGGGTGGCCAAAATTTGGAATGGGCTTCCAAGGGAGGTGGTGCTCTCCCCTACCTTGGGGGTCTTTAAAAGAAGGCTAAATAAGCATCTGGCTGGGGTCATCTGATCCCAGCACTCTTTCATGCCTATGCAGGTGGTCAGACTCGATGATCTGTTGAGGTCCCTCCCGACCCTAGCATCTATGAATCTATGAATCAATTCACCCCTCAAGCTCAGTAGGCCCTCTCGACATGTCCATGCCTCTGCAGAGCAGCTGTATTTAAGGTCTCATTGAGTGACTTTGTCCACCTCTACCCCATGCCTCATGACTCATGAGTGTTATTATACCATCATTCACCTTGTAGGGAATTTGGCTTTATTGGCCTCCTCCAACTCTGCTCTCACTGGGCCTTCTAGCCCAGGCCCACAACATCAGACCTGGTTTCTAGGCTCCAGCCCAATCCTCTCAGACTCTGGCAGTGGCCCCTTCTGGACTTTTGGCACCTGATGGGTGCTGGGCCCCACTCCTGGGCCAGTCAAGATCTCTAGGCTCCCCAGCTCTGGCAGTCTTAGTTGTATTACATAGGAAACTTAGGCATGTCTACCTATACAGGATTATCCATGCAAACTCAAGCCATCAACATTTTTTTTTAAAAAGCTAAGACTACGAGACAATTCTTTGAAGTAATACAACTCAACCCCAACCAGATTACCCGAGTGAATTCATGACAACTTTCTCCCGCTTTCTAGTTTCTTTGGTCAGTATTTTTGGTGTGCTTGCAGCTTTTCTGTGACTAGGCAAATTAGTCATCCTCCCCACAGTAATTTGTACTCTCTGATATGTAGCCATTCTGTTTACTTTCTGACCTTTACTGTTCTCGAGTCATAGTAAGCAAATGTCACCTCCCACTGCAGAGTCTAGTCCTCAACCAGATTCTGCCCTTTCCTACTTAGATTGTGCAGAACCAAAAATGTGGGACTATGAAAGACCTGGAAGTTCTGCTTTCCTTTCTACAATGACCTTGGTAATAGTAAGGATGCCTGTTAGCCATTCGAGCTACCAAACACATGCACAGCTCCTGGA